CCACCCTGCAGCTCTGCACCAAGGGGAGGACAAGAACCCGGCGGTTTCTAACAATCCAAGCCGTACGGGGACCTCTGTTCTGTGAGCCACAGACAGTGACAGACTGGATCCATCCCACCTAGCGTGTCCTCCCCCTCAGGAGCGACCAAGGGCCGTTTCCCCTGGAGGGACCCAGGAAACAGCCTGGGACCCTGGTGAATTCCTTCCCACCTCGGCAGTGCGCAGCACGAGCCTGGCAGGACACGATTTCTTAGCTCTTGCCAGCACAGCGCCAATAGGAGATGAGGGGGGGGGGGCAGGGAGGGGCCAAACAGCATCACGCTGCCGTGCGCGGCTGTTCATCACCTTCAGATAACTCCTCGTCATTCACGCGCAATCAAGCCTCTCCTCCCCGCGCCGGATCCCTAGCTGCAACGCCAGCGGCATCTGCACTTGCCTGGCCACTGTACAGCACGAGGAGGGGCAGGATGGGGGTTGGGGAGGCCCGGAGCAGCCAAAGCCTGGGGCATACATCACCTCTGCCCAGTCAGCAATGAAGAACCCCTCGCCGTCCCCCTCAGGCCGGAGCTCTCTTCACGTCAGCCCCCACCAGGATACTGCCCATTAGCCTTGGGGACCAGTGTTCCCTGAAAGCTGAGCCCCGAGGTGACCACCCAAGAGAGATTCAAATGCCACCCAGTGGATTAGCAGAGTGCCCTCCAGTGCAAACAGCTGGCAGCATGTTTCTATTGGTGGTGCACACTGACACATGCCTTGGTGCATATAAAATATATTCCTCAAGTGGATGGGAAAAAATGAGAGAGACCATTCTTGGGGACTCCTGATTAAGTCTGGGCCAGTGGGGAAGGAGCAGGCTAAGGGGCAGGACATGAGTGGGGTCTCACAGGTTTCGGGCTGCGGGCTCCTTTCTTTTTAAATGAGCACAGCACTTGATTTGACAGGGTTTTAATTTCTCCCCCCCCCCCCCCATGGGTTTGTCAAACCTGAGCTGCGGGTGCTCGGGCATCACTGCGCCTCCTATGGGAGGCAGCTGAAACTTGTGGGGTCCCCTTGCCCATAGCAGCCCACAGAGGATATCAGAGCAAACACAAGGGCAGCCGGCAGAGACTCTCCTTCTATGCTGTTAGCAGGGGCCTATGTGCTGGAGCAACAGGACTGGGGTTCCACCCCCGGCCCATACAGCCCGGGCACCACATTAGCGCCACAGTAACTGCAGGGTGGCACTCACGTTGTTTCCCCCTCTCTCAGCTTCTTCACCGCGGCCTTCTTGGACAGGTTGATCTCGGAGTCGAGCTTTCGTAAGAAATCCGTGGCCGAGAGGTCATGACGGGGGGTGGAGCCTGCGCTGGCCGCAGAGCTGTTTTTCAGCACCAGCGTCTCCTTTCCCGTGGCAGGCTGTGTGGCTCCTTCCTCCCGCTTTAAGCCGTTCACCATCTCCTCGGGCTCCACCAGGACAGGGATGTGCAGTGTCGTCTTGAGGAAGATGGAGTCACTGGTGTACAGACGATTTGCCCGCTTGATCTGCTCCATCTGGGAAGGCACCATAAGACTTGTAAGCCCACTAGCCTGCGACAGACATCACCAACCTTCTCTATTCAGAGCATGGTCCTAAAAGCTACTTTGCAAGCTGGGTGCCTAATATCAGTCACTACCAAAATGCAGCCACTTCTGGGGTGGAGGGCACCAGTAAGCAAACAGAACACCACACAATGAGAGAAAGCAGGCACACAGCTGGCCTGGACTGCAAATGCTGGGTTTGTGCTGGCAGGGAGAAGGGCTGGAGGTCACTAGAGATTTAATGTTGAGGATGTGGGGGGACAGACTCCGCATGCTTGAGGCTCAGGTTTCAATGCAGCCAGATGAGTCTGTGCTCTCTCACTGGAGGGGAGAGGGCCATGCCATTGACAAGTCTGCTAGCGGGTCCACCCCACCTGTCTCCTATGCTCTGCTGGGGGTGGGAGGGATGAGGAAAGACAACCTGGAAACCCTTCACCACGGCACATGCCTCATCTCCAGCCCAAAGACCAAAAAACCCTCCTTTCTACCTTACTGGCTGCTCATTAGGTCCCTGCAAAATGAGCTGGCAGGTTCTCAGCACTGGCACTGAAATAAAGCTGGCCCCCTGGCTGGCAGCCCCAGAATGCTCTGCTGGGGGTGGGAGGGATGAGGAAAGACAACCTGGAAACCCTTCACCACGGCACATGCCTCATCTCCAGCCCAAAGACCAAAAAACCCTCCTTTCTACCTTACTGGCTGCTCATTAGGTCCCTGCAAAATGAGCTGGCAGGTTCTCAGCACTGGCACTGAAATAAAGCTGGCCCCCTGGCTGGCAGCCCCAGAGAAAGCCAAGGCACTCCTGCAGCGAGCAGCATGCATGTGTTCTAGGGAAGAATGAATTGCTGTGGTCAGGCTCCAGGCCTATCAAGGTTTAAACTGCTGAGGGCCACTACTGCCTGACCACACCACAGACAGCAAAGCTGGCCCGGCCCAGCCGGATATGTGTGTGTGGGGGAGGGGGGGGGATTTTGTTCCCATCACCAGGGGAATTTCTGCTGCATACACTGAACTCCTGTGAAAACCACTTGGGGCCACAGAACACAAAGTTGCAAAATACAGGAAATGAGAAGGGTGCGAGTTCATGTGAATGCACAAGTGCACATTAGCCGGATCCCATCAGCCACATGAAGAGGCAACAGCACACCTGGGCAACCATGAGGAGACAGCAATTGCAGGATTGGAACCCTCAGACCTAAATCTGCATGAGACTTCAGACTTTCAGCCCTCCCGTGCATCCACCCATACTCCGAGGACCCCAGTGGGGTGCCCACTCCAAGTTCCATGATCAGGACGCTGGACTATGGCTTTGATTTTCTGCCAATCCCCTTCTGGAGTGCCATAAACTATTATGAATCATTAGGTGTATTGCAGAAGCCTCTAGGAGCCTCAGCCAAGAACCAGGAGATCCCACCACAGGGGAATCAGAGGTGCCTGGACGCAAGAGCGGTGACTCCTGCCAGCAGCCCCTCTTCTTAGGGGTGCTCATGATGGGAGCCTCCCTACTTCACCCCCAGACATTCAGCAAACAAAAAAGCAGTAATGCTGAGTATTTTAGCAGAACTCCTCATCCAAGACACACAAAGCACAGTACAAAATGGGGTCCCCCAATCAGTGGAAATCAATGAGGCCCCAAGCTGCAGGATCAGGGCTGACACAAGAAAGAAGGGAAGCCGGGACAGGTCAGGTATCGAGCACTTTACAAAAGGTACATCCATGGGAATAGCTTTTTTTATAAAACGGAGAAAAAGGTATAGAGTGGTGACCAGAAACCAGAAGACATGGCTTCCTGTTCCCTGCTCCATCCACAAGACCCTACTCCCCTCCAAAGCTGGGAACAGAACCCAGGAGTCCTGGTACTGCCCCCTGCTCCAACAGTGGGACCTCATGGGCACCCCAGCTACATCCCCCAGATCGCAAGGGGAAGCTGCTGCGCAGACCTACCGTGACGCCATACTTGAGTGCCAGCCCCTGCAAGGTGTCCCCCGGCTCCAGACGATGTTCCACCCTCCTCTCCCTCACCGGGGAGTGTGTCGACTTGATGAGGCTGCCGTAGGACCGGGTCCTGCTGCCACAGAGCAAACCAGCCCCTCCAGGGGATCCTTGCCTGGAGGGGGAGGCCATCTCCCCCCCCAGCCCCCAGTCAGTGGTGCAACCAGTGCAGGCGGCAGAGGGGCCTGGAGGGGTCAGGACTCCTGCCAGCACCCTCTTTCCTGAGGGGTGCTCATGGCAGAACGAACAAGGGCCTCCCAGGCAGAGCAGGGACCCCCCCCTTCTAGCCCCCCCCCCTTCTAGCCCCCCCCCCAAAGGGTCTCTCTCCGGTCTTGCTTCTTCTCCCCCCTCTCGGCCTCTAGTCCAGGGCAGGGGGGCACCCAATTTCCGCCCCACACCGCC